ATGCGTGTGAGCGGTGTGCGTGTCCCTATCAAAGACTGGGAAAACTGAGCACCCGCTTGTTAATGTAAAAAATCAATAACCAGAACGAAACAAAAAGAACGATAAATAATTTTGAGGGAAAGAATTAAAGAACGTTGTGGGTGATACTTTTATTCTTAGAGATGATGAGCATTTTAGAACACTTTTACAACAAATTAACCCAGTCCATTCACACCTCGGTATATCGTGAAGTAGAAACCAACAACACTAGCATTTCTATACCTTTTCAATCCAATCAATCGCATTCCACTGGGAACCTCACAAGACGATGAATGTTTCTGCCGTCAACGTCACCGAGTGGTTTAGGTCTGTCAAAACTCTGTCCAGTCCGAATTTCTTCGTAAACAAAGAAAAGTACTTTTTGAGCGAGTTATCGTGGGAGCCTGAAAGTTTATGTAGGGTGGGGTTTAACTGTTAGTCCTTCCTCTTCCTCCACCCGGTAAACCGGATACCTTTGAGCGTTTATCGAGTGTGCTTCACGAACGGGAATGAACTGACCCGACGATAATCGATCTCGATCGGTCGTATAGACAGGTGTGCTGTGACAAGTTGGATCGATAATGGGATTGCTAGAAACAAGTGTGAAAATGGTCGTGATCTGTTGCATGGGCTGGTTCCTGTACCCTCGGCTTCATGGTGATTGGATTTCCATTGAGACTAAGATTTCCTAGAACTTTAGATAATCAAATGCATTTGTCTAATTTTTTGCATTAAAAAGCATAGAAGCTAAACAGTGACTAGTGAATATGAAGTAAGAAATAGCAGTGACGAAGACTTAATTACTTAATTACGGATTAAAATGAATTAGATTTCCTTCGGCGAACCACAGACTAACTAATGTATTGTGCATACAAGTCAAGTGGCAGAATCATTGATACCTAGTGGCTTATAATTAACATCAGCATAACTGATCCGGTCATGCCACCATATTCAATGCTCGCTTGATAGGAAGCCGATGGAGTGACTATTGAGGTTAGCTTTTCCCCTCGCATCACTCGCCACACAAATCACAGTAAGTCTTCTTTCGGTGCATATTTTAACTAAACTGGAATAGACCTCAGTGGTTGATGGTTTGTACACCCAACCAAGGAGCGAAAATTCGAACTAAGCAACCGAGTTTGTTGGTTTTGCATGATCTCTTGGTTTCAGTACTGCTAGAACTGCTCGACGTGGTTTACTTTTGATCACCACGTGCCCCAGAAAGCACTGTCTGCCAGGGGAATTTTTTTCTGCTTGTAATTGTCCACAACCGAAAATCGAAAAACGCTACGGTGAATACAAGTTTGCTGTAAATTCCACGAAATTTCTGAATTACCCGGCATATCGAGTTCAACAATGTTATAAATTTCTGGCTTATATCCCCAGTCACGAAAGCGTTCAGCGATTAAAAAAACTAACCATCAGTTGTATTAAGAATCAAGCATTTTCAGAGCTGGCACAAACATGGTTAGATGCATGCTGCCAATGATCCTTCGTAGTATGGAACTTGGCATGATCAGCAATGCTTTCCAAACATGCCATTCTCCAGTCCTATCGGTTCAGTCGTCCTTCAGGATCACCCGCCATGATATTGGCACGATAATTTCGGATCTCCGTTTCGCGATGATCGATATCATTTCTATTAGGCTCATAGTGAAATGTATGGGGCAAGGCTGAAGATGCTCACTCTTCTTCGGGCAACCATCTTTCAGTTTGAGTTTGTACAGCCATTAACCATGGGCTTTCATGTGCTGGTCTTGGTTGTTGTCTGGTAACCACGTGACTATTAGAATAAACAAATGTAAGGTGAAACTTTATCTACCTTTTAAGCCCCTGCGAATATCACTATGTTGTGTAATTACGGCTCCTCAGCTGTCTGATACGAGTGATTACGTGTGAACTATGGGTTCTCCGTTTGTTAATCTTGTTTCTGTTTTTATCTTCAACCCAGGTCGTCAAGTCAGCTGCTACTGCATTCTTTGGCCAATCAGATCAGGTATCAGTTGGCTTGCCATTCAGTTCTCCGGGGGAAAATTGGCGTGAATCTCTTGTGCGGCTATTGTTGTGCGACTCGACTGGCTCTATGTTCCACGTTCCAGCTAACTTGGTGCGACAACATTCATCTGAAGAGTATTTGAAACATAGTGTACGGTCACCATACGATACATCGTTGGCCTGCGATGATCCCACAACAATCCAGGTAATATTACCAAAAGTGTTGAGTTCTATAGACGTGGAGCATTTGTTCGCTCAAACTGTGATAAGAGTGTAAACGTTCGCTGTATGTATTTCCCAACACCGTGTCACGCCTGGATTGGTTCAATACTGGTTGTTTAAACACACACACACACGTATATATATATATATATATATAT